GCCTCGGGGCCGCATCTGGCCCCCGGGCCTTAGGTTGCCTACCCCTGACTTTATCTAAGGGAGGCACTGAAAGCATCAGGGTTGAATTTGGATGGGAGTTTAATTAGTTTGACCTGTTGTCATCGTGGTCATGTGCCTTCAAGCCCTTTTCTGATTTATGGCGACCCTATCAAGACATTTCTTGGAAAGTTGCTTCAGAGGGGGTTTTCCACGACCATCCTCTGAGGCTGAGAGAGTGTGACTTGCCCAGGGCACCTTGTCGTTCTCCCAGTCAGGGCAGCCTGCCTCTGTTCCATCTCTTTGTTCCTTAACAGCCTTTATTTATTTTGATAGAAAGTCAAAAGAAGCTGTAGGAAATTATGGCAGGCAGGAATGAGTTCAGAGGGGATTTGACCTTGCCTCCCTCTGAGGCTGAGAGAGTGTGACTTGCCCATGGCACCTCCTAGTTCTCCCAGTCAGGACAGCCTGCCCCTATTCCATCTCTTTCTTCCTTAACAGACTTTGTTTGTTTTGATGGAAAGTCAAAAGAAGCTGTAGGAAATTATGGCAGGCAAGAATGAGTTCAGAGGGGATTTGCCTTTGCCTCCCTCTGAGGCTGAGAGAGTGTGACTTGACCACGCTCACCCTGTGGGTTTCCATGGCTGAGCTTGGATTCAAACCATGGCCTCCAGATTCATAATCTAACAATCAAACCACAACACCACTCAAACAACAACGCTCAAACCACAACACCGCTCCTTAATGTGACCTATCCATCCCTTAATGAACCTGCATAAGGTATGGACAGGTAATTTGAGGAAGTTTCTGTCTAAAGCCAGATCTTAACAGCTGCTCTTCTCTGTTTTGGTTGGCTTGATCTCTCTGGCACTCTCTTTAGAACAGAGCCCAAGGTGGCCAAGAACCACCTAAATCAGCACCAGTGAGTTAGGCTGCATCCGCACTGCAGAAATAATCCAGGTTTCCTCTGCCCAACACAGGGCCAGACTCAGATCTTTGATCACTGGCAGAAACCCCACCACCAAAACTGCCAAAGTGTCCCATCCTTGGATGTCTCTCTATTCCTGCCACCAATGGGAGATCCCATCGTCCCTCTCACCTGCAGCAGAGCTCCCTCAGTTCAGCAGGGCCTTGGTGAACCTGTCTGCTTTCTTCACACTTATTGCATTGACAGCGTTATGGCTTTCCACTGGGATTTCTAGGATGGCAATAGGTAGCAGGTGCCTTCGTTGTCCTTGGAAGAGTGCCAGACTGTTTCGGTAACCTAGTCTGGGTCAAAACTGTGTCATGCAAGATTAAGCTTGACACATTGCCAGGAAGAGGAGTTCAAATTACTCACATTACAGAAAAGGGAGATTCTTAGGGAATATAATTTCTGTACTTTAATTGGGATGAGACTGTGGGAAAGCTAGTACTTACATATTCATCGGATCTTAGAGTTGGGCCACAAGGGACATTGAGTCCAATCCCCAGCCAGGCAGGAATACACAACTAAAGCACTCCTGAAAGATGCCCGCCCAACTTTAGTTTAAAGACCATCACTGTCTGAGACAGTCTGTTTCATTGTTAAGCAGCTCTTACAGTCAAGAAGTTCTTAATTTTTAGGTGGAATCTCTTTTCTTGCAATTTGAATCCAGTGTTTTATGTTTGGATCACTAGAGCAATAGAAAACAAGCTCACTTCACCTTCTACGTGAGATATTTAAAGATGGCTCTCATGCCACCTCTCTGTTTTCTCTTTTCCAAACTAAAACATCCTCATTTACAAACTTTTCGTTGTCTTGGGCTGCATCCCCACTGCAGAATTAATCCAGTTTGACACCAGCTTAACTGCCATGGCTCAGTGCTATGGAACCCTGGGAACTGTAGTTTTGTGAGACATTTAGGCTTCCCTATCTGAGAACTCTGGTGCCACAACAGACTACAAATCCCAGGATTCCATAGCACTGAGCCATGGCAGTTAAAGTGGTGTCAAACTGGATTATTTCTGCAATATGGATCTGCCTTGGTTGCCCTTCTCTGGACACAGTCCAACTTTTCAATGTTCTTCTTAAACTGTGGTGCTCAGGGTATTCCACATGAGTTCTGATCAAAGCTACTGCTTCCCTTGATCTGGACACTGTACTCCTGTTGATGCAAGTTACAATTGCATTGGTTTGTTTGGTCCACGTCACACCACCCTTGTTGCTTCTTCTCCAACAGCTTTGAATAGATACCATCATGTGTGGCATTTGGGCTCTTTTTGGGAGTGATGGATGCCTCTCTGTTCAGTGTCTGTGTGCTATGAAAATAGCACACCGGGGCCCAGATGCTTTTCGGTTTGAGAACGTCAATGGATTCACCAACTGCTGTTTTGGCTTCCATCGTCTGGCAATTGTTGATCAACTCTACGGAATGCAGCCTCTACGGGTGAAGAAATTTCCCTACTTGTGGCTGTGTTACAATGGAGAAATCTATAACTACAAGCAGGTAAAATTTCCCCCAAACCTCTTGTGAGGAATGCTTTCTCCAGGACTTGCTATGGCACTCCGGAACATTTTCCTTATGTCCCTCTTGTCCTAGTGAAGTCCTTTGCATGTTTAGTCTGTCATTTCTTTAAATCACTTTTGGACAATACATGGCCCATGGTCTGTTTTCAAAAGTTGTCTGCAAGCTATCTGATCTCTGGCAGGAGGAGGGGGCAGAGGAAGGGGGCAGAAGAGAGAGAATGGGGAAAGAATGGTGGCTAAGGGGTAACTCTATTCACTGGTGACTTTGGTCTCACCCTCCATGGGCTTGTGGTCCCCAGGAGATTAGCCTGAAAGAAATGCAGCCATCATCACAAAAGATAGCCCATCTCTATCTGTGAAGAATCTTATGCAACTTTGTATGATATAACAGTATTATTAATAATATTGAGTATACAGATAGATACATCATTGCCCCAAAGCTTCATGGGTCCTTGCAACCCAACTACAGAACAGCCAAGGCCTTAGGTAATTGCAGAGGGACACATTGTTGTGTCCCTTCAAGTCATTTCTGACTTATGGCGATCATATCAAAGGGTTTTCCTGGCAGGTTTCTTCAGAGGGGGATTGCCATTGTCATCCTCTGAGGCTGAGAGTGTATGACTTGCCCAGGGTCATCCAGTGCATTCTTATGGCAGAGCTGGGATTTGAACCCTGATCTCCAGAGTAATAGTCCAATGCTCAAACTGCTACACCACACTGATTCCAGAGGGACATATATAAGGGGCTTAAAATGGAGACCCAGTGAAGAGGCAGCAAAGTTGAAGGCCAACATGATAGCCATCACCTGTGCCCTCTTCCTGCTGTAGCCCAGCATCCCCCACTACTGATATAGTTGGCTACATCTGATAGGAGTTGCAGTCCAGCAATTTCTGTATTGCCATTTTTTCCTAAGCCTTGTTGTTCTTGCTGTATTCTGTTTTACCTGTTGTATACTAGTGCATTATAAGCAAATGCAGCCTCTTAATGTTATGTTGACAATAAATAAAGGTGATGATAACAACAACCCACTGCTTTGAAAAACAAAAACATCAGCCTTAGTGAAGCCACATTAGAAAAAAGTTAACAGTTCAAAATCTACTCCAACAGATCCAGATTGTAGATTGTAGACTAGAACATGCTAATCTATATTTTATAATCTCAAACACATGCACTCACAATACCAGCAATCTCAGTTTTCTAAGGCTGTGATGCTTGGTTGGTCAGATCCCTATCAACAGGAATACAAATTTGATTTACGTAAACTATTGAGGATTCACCTTCTATTTGGTGCCTCACCATTGCAGAAAGTCATGGTTGCTGAGACTAACAGCATAAGAAAATGCAGAATATTGTAGGAATAACAGGAAGTACCATTGGGAGCAGTCCTCACTATGGACATTTTCAATTATGAGGATTGAGATTAAATCTAACATTAATTCCAACTAGGTTTAAAGCAATAGGATTTACCCTACTGGAGATTAACAAATCCTATTAATTTCATTGATTTAATTCTAGCTGGGGCTAACATTAGATTTAGCCATTTTGCATTGGGGAAGGTGAGATTGTTTACAGAAAACTTGACAGATCTGATTGGGAAAACACCTTGCAATGAAAAATTGTCTGCAGACACAATACCTCACGTTTCTTTATGCATTCAAAATATTTTGAATATACAGCTCCAGCATTGTTGTGAAGCATGTAAGATGATAGGGAAGTTATTTTATGCCCAGCCTAGTTATTTGGATCAGTTATTCCAAAACAACAGTCCCTTAATTCACACTGATTTATTCAAATAGTGGCCTTGCACATTAGAGAGAATTTTACATCATCTGCACATCTTCCAGACCCTCATTGACAAAATAAATTTGTGTCATTCAAGTCTTAATGCATCGTTGTTCCCTTTTAAAGCATGTAAATGTTTCTGTGAATGCTAATTTTCCTCTTCTGTTAATTTTTTAATTTTTTTTTTTTTGGTAGCTTCAGAAACATTTTGGATTTGATTACCAGACCTTAGTAGATGGAGAAGTAATCCTGCACCTTTACAACAGAGGGGGAATCGAGCAAACAGCTTCTATGCTTGATGGTGTATTTGCCTTCATTTTACTTGACACTGCAAACAGGAAAGTGTTTCTGGGAAGGGATACATATGGAGTCCGGCCACTGTTTAAGGTTCTGACTGATGATGGATTTTTGGGTGTATGTTCTGAAGCAAAAGGTAATCTTAAACTCTGAAGGTCTTTGTAATCATCTTCAAGGAATAGGAATATTTAAAATTGCAAAACTGATCCTGCAAATAGGCTTACTTGCATCCTCACATTATTATTATTTTATTTCTGAAATATCTCGCTTTCTTTTATGTTGACAAAAATCATTTTTATTAAAATGTGTTTGTGTTGAATGAAGTAGACCCCCCCCCCTTGATCGTTTACTTTGAGCAAGATGTGACAGCTTTCAGTAGTAAAACCATTCTGGAAAATAAAAATGTAAGGCAAATTTTGTATTGATTATTCTGTGACCTTCTCTGGTGAGCATTTTAATTTTCAGGTGTTTTTTTTATAAAAAAAACACTGTTTTGTGATATTAAAAAAATTATAGGGCTTGCTCAAATTTAGTACAGGTGTGCTTAGTTCTTAGGGAAGTTGAGAGTTTGCTCAAGTTTAATATGGGCACAGTGGGCTCCCATTACAGAAAACAATTTTTACTCCCCATTCTCCATCTGTCACAATGTATTTCTTTGGAAATAAATAAATGCAGGTATATATTTAGACATTACCTAAGCGTGAGTAATCTACAGTTGCTTTCCCATCTAATAAATAGAAAAGGCTGATCAGTCCTTCCAGTTCAATTGATCTTAGTTATCTGTTTTAATGAATGAAAGAGAAAAGAGAGCATGGGTTTTTATCTCCTCTTACAGTGTAATATTCCTACTAAAAATCCCTTATGGACTTCAGAAGCTGACAAGTCTTTAATCTACCTGATCTTTATGCTACTGTCAACAGTGACTTGTAGTATATCTTCAACTTGTCTGTTGTTATCAGTATTTCTCCATTAGATGTCTCTTCTTCACTATGGTCTTATAGATGTGATGTATCTTTAACTGCTATCATCCTGACAGTTGGCTATGCTGGCTGATTTTGAAGGGAATGGTGTCTATCCACCTTTGGAGGGCCACAGGTTCTCTATTCATCCTGTTAAGCTTTACACTTATCTAAAGGTAGTTCTTGA